ACGATTTTCGCTCTGTATAAGAACAATTCATCAGTAACCCAAATTATTTCATAGTCATCGAATCTTTACATACCAAGTCACATAACATTTTTTAAAAATCTACAACCTACACGTACACGTATACTAATGCGGGAGCCGATTGGAGTAAAAACAGAATATTTAAGAATATTTTACCCTATTACTATTATTATTATTATTATTAGTGTTTATTATTAATATTATTGTATTGTCATTATTAATAATAATCTCTTACGATAAATCTATTTTTTATTTTATTTTTCTCATTTTAAGGAAATAAAAAGGATTGTACTAAAATTTTTAATAAATCTTCCTAATATTTTTTCCCCTTATTTCTTAATTCTAATCTAAGATTCTTAATTCTGTTGCATTAGTACTATTACTGTCATTCTATTGCTATTCTACTCTTTGATTCTATAACTCTATCTTGCGAAAGGAATAGAAAATACAAAAAAAAATATCAATTTCAGGTATACGACATAAACAGATACAATTACATAAGAAGTACAATTATGCTGTATAGAGAAGTGAATTTTAGAAAACTAAATGAAACTAAACTAAATTAGAATTCAATAAAATTCACCGCACAAAACCGACATAAAATTTCTAAGATTCGCCTTTCCAACAAAAGTATCGTTCTCTGTTCTCAAACCAAAAATATCTATCCTTCGCGAATACTTGCACAGAAATATCCGTTAATAAAGATATGTATACAGGACGACGATGATAAAATTCAAAAAATCTGTTGCCGAACGATAAACTGGAACCTTCGAAACGGTACAATGATCGAGCAAACGTGAAATGAAAATCGAGTTTCCGGATGGGAGATAGGATTTTCAATCGGAGCAGTTGGCAACGGCCAAAAGTCGGTTTCTTCGCGGGTTCGTAATAAAAATTTATCCTTTGCCATCCCGGTTCCCGCTTATCTTTTTTATTCCGCTCCCTTCGCTTTTATCGGCGGTGATAAAACGTTCGATCGATGGGCCGATCAACATATCGCGATCGGAAATCGCACGGACGAATTATTAAGTAAGGACGTCTAGAAACGTTTCTTATCGCCGAGCGAATTGTTTCATCGTTTCTTATTTGGTTATCATACAGGGTGAGTCGATGAAGATTACCACCGACAATAATTCGTTATGCATTGACTGCATCAAAAAATATATGAAATAAAATTTTCTATATTCGAGACAACTCAACGGATGAATATATTCTGACTAATTGATGCCTAGCATTGATCTATCAGCGTGACCTTGAGCTTTTTAAACAGCGTCACATATCGTTTCCGTCGTAGCCGTAAAAAATACGAATCCAACGACATACGATAGACCTCTCGGTCAACCTTGAAACTCAAAATGAAACGAAAATTTGTAGGAGGCCTTAGAACTCGTGCAGAAATTGCTGGGCGCGAGATGCAGTCATTCTTTGCAAATCTCCGTATACACGCGAACCGAAACTCTGCCATTAGCTAAGCTCCGTAGAGCAAAACTATGACCAAGACGCACCGTGGACGAGCGACTATTGTCCACGCGATATCGCTACGATCGTACACGTCTGTACTCTTTGTTCTTAGCTCGTAAAAACACACAAAGATGTATAATCGTAGCGATATCGCGCGGACGACAGTGTCCGCATCGGACCCGAGTATTATCTGTGCGAACAGTAGCACGCGAATTAAGAACGATCCACCTGTACGAAAAAAGCCTGTTCAGAGGTTGAAGGCGACTCAAGGTGGTCCCTTCGTACATCTATAAAGCTGGAAATACGCGGCAGGAGTCCCGTGTCCCCGCAACAATGTATTTAATTAACGTAACG